CTTACAATTGTACAATAATACTATTTTAATTAGATGATATTATAAAATATTTTTAGGATTTTTTATTATTATATAATAAATAATATAAATATTGTTGGTATATAATATTATAGTTAGTTAGGTTGTAATAATTTGGGTTTTTTTAGCGGATTGGGGTTTTTTGCCAATTCGAGATATTAGTGGCCAAATTTTCATCGATTTAGTCAACTCTTTATTGTTGTCCATATATGATTATATAATTAATCTATGATAATTCTATGATTTCTTTTGTGTGATGTAAATTTAATGGTCAACATAAGTTCATATAGGGAAAGAGTATCTCAATATTCACAAATTGATGAAAAAAATGAAAGTTAATAATGTAGTACCCTCATTTCTTATTGGATTTAAATAATTTTTTCGGATTTTTTTGAAGCTTTAATCCGACCGATTCAGCAGATTCCCAATCCGGATCGTCGATTCACCGATCCGGATCGGTTTTTGAGATGCCCGATCCGTGTCACCGATCCGTTTTTTAAACCATTGATCATGACCTTTGCAGTTCCGTTAGATACCAATTCTAATAACATTGCTTAATTCCATACCCTTGATATAGGAATTTCATTCACTCTGGAGTTAAACTGTGTATCTTTTGTTAATGAAAGTGACGCCAAAGCTTCTTGTTGATTATATGAGTAGTCGTTGCAGGCCTTATTGGAGATTGCACTTAAGTTTGACTAATTATAGCTCTAAGCTTGCATCTTTTTGTGATCAACAGTGGAAGATCCGACATGCTTATAGGGTGGCCAGAATGGCTGCGGATTCTTTGGCCAAAGCAGTGGTTTCTATGAATGAAGCAGCGGTGTGAGGTGTTTACGCCCCTAATTTTGTAATGCCTTTCATTCTATCTGATGTTGTTAGTGTTCCCTTGCCAAAGGCTATTTAAGAATTGTTCATATAATATTTTTTTTGATTATTTAATAAAAAGGGCATAGGCCCTGATATCCCCACTCATTCACCAAAAAAAAGCTTCTTCAACTATTATATTTACTATGACTTTTTTAGACCACCATATTTTTTATTTTGGGTAGATCAGTGGGTATTATACAAGCCTCTATCCATTTTATACCGTTAGCTAAGGCTCACATAGTACTACCACGGCAACCCCAAATTTATACCACCACATTTGTCTTTTACAAAATAACCAATATGTTTACCTCTTCTCCCTGTGAAATATTGTACATTCCAATTTCATTTTTTTTACTCGTCATCAGAGAAACTTTTCACTCACATCAAACACAGTTACACAGAGACACACACACCTATATATACTAGCTCTTTCTTGTCACCAGAGATAAATTTTTCAGTCACATCAAAAACAGTTACACAGAGACACAGACCCACATATACTAGCTCTTTCTTTTGATAAGGCGTATGCGATGAGAAATGGAGCGGGAGAATGTTCATGTTGTGATGGTACCCTGGTTGGCCTTTGGGCACATGATCCCTTTCTTTGAGCTATCCAAAGCCTTAGCTCAAAAGGGCATTACAGTCTCCTTCATTTCCACTCCTAGGAACCTTCAAAGATTGCCTCCAACTCCACCAGAATTAGCACCCCAGATAAATTTAGTGGGGTTCCCCCTACCCTCAGTAGAAGGCCTCCCAAAAAATGCAGAGGCCACCACAGACATCCCTTTAAAGAAGGTGCCCTACCTCAAGAAAGCCTATGATGGCCTCCGAGCACCCTTTGAGGAGCTCGTTGCCAAGGTCTCTCCAGACTGGATTGTAGTGGACTTCGCACCATATTGGGCAACTTCCATTGCTTCCAAATATGGGGTCCCCTGTTGCTGGTTTAATGCTGTCTCGACGGCTTTCACTGTCTTTCTTGGTCCTCCCCACTCTTTGAAAGGTCTCTGTAGAACGACGACTGTCGACGAATTAATGGTGGTACCCGAGTGGATCACCTTCCCTTCAACTATCGCTTTCAGGCGCCATGAAGCTCAAGCTTTTCTTCAACAAGTCCTCACAAACCTTCACAATGGATCAGGTGTCTCTGACTGGTACCGTGTACAGTCCATCCTAGAAGGTTGTAGAGTTGTGGCCTTTCGAACAGGTAAGGAGTTCGACGGAGACTATATCGATCTTTTCGAGAAGCTCTATGAAAAATCTGTATTCCCTCTAGGCTTTCTCCCCCCTTCACAAGCAGAGAGAGAAGGCAACGACAATAGCTGGATTGATGAGAACAAGTGGTCCACAGCATTTGAGTGGCTAGATGCCCAGCCCCTCAGGTCAGTTGTGTTTGTTGGGTTTGGGAGTGAGTGTAGACTGAGTATAGAACAAGTGCATGAGATAGCCTACGGTCTAGAGCTCTCTAAGCTGCCATTTGTTTGGGCCCTTAGGAAGCCCTTCGAGACCCACGATGGCTTAGAGATCTTACCAAAAGGATTCGAAGGTCGAACTGAGAGGCAAGGGATCATCTGCATCGGTTGGGCTCCGCAACAGAGGATCTTCGCCCACCCCTCAATTGGGGGGTGCCTATTTCACTCTGGGTGGGGGTCTATCATAGAGGCCCTAAGTCATGGCCTTGCTTTGATCCTTCTCCCTTTCATTATAGACCAAGGGATCAATGCTAGGCTCTTGGGAGAGAAGAAGCTGGGCTTTGAGGTAGAGCGCAATGAAGATGATGGGAGTTTCACTAAGGTTTCAATTGCCAAGGCCTTGAGGTTTGTTATGGTGGAAGAGGAAGGGGAACCCCTTAGGGTCAAGGCAAGAGAGATGAAGCCAATTTTTGGTAATAAGGAGCTTAGTGACATGTACCTGGATGGGTTTGCCAATTTTCTCAAGAACAATAAATAGAATAGTTTCCTCTATCTTCTCCTCCTTTCTCTTCCTTCATCTCCTCTCTTCCTTTTTCCCATATTTTTTTTTTTCTCTTTGAGGCCTCCTCATCCTCTTTCCTCCTTTTCAAATAAATGGTCCTAATAATAAATAAAATATTTAATAAAATTTAAATGAAAATTTGAAGGAAAATCTATTAAAAAGGGTTGTTGCAGTGTTAGAAAACTCTCATATTAGTCATCTTCGATATCAAGATCTATAAGTATGGATAATAAAAAAAAAGATCGTCTTAAAAATGATTCAACTCGTAACACAATATTTGAATCAATCATTTTTAAGATTTTAAAGTGTTTTAAAAATCCACCATCTTTTTTTAGAGCTTTAAATTTTATAATAAGAGTAGAAACAAATTTTTTCAGACAATCACGAGTTTCCAGCACCAAAACTGCATCTTCCATCTTCCAACAGGGTTTGCTCTTTATTTTAACAGTGCACATATTTGAATAAGGTCTTTTGAAAAGGAATGATGTCTCTCTTTTTCTTAACCACAGCTTTGTGCCTTCATTTATGTCCAATGTTTCTCTCACATCGACTAGCTGATGTTTTTTTCTTATTTAACCTTAATGTTTTTATTTTGATCATTTTTTTTGTTGTTTTTATTAATACTTCTTATTTGATTATTTTCTTTTGATTGAGAATAACATGCTCTTGATGGAGCATACTATACACTTACTCTGTTGGACCAATGACCTACTTAAGAAGATTTTTTCAATCATAAATTTTGAAATCTACTTGAGTACTTCAAAAAATAAAAAAAAATAGGAAAAAGAAAAAAACAAAAGATGAAATCTACTTTATAATGATGAAATGAGTAATTAAAAAAAAAAAAAACAAAAAATTTTACGGTTTCGTTCCCACTCACACCACCCTACTACCACTTAAAAAAATCTAACTCCTAAACTATTTTAAAAAGAAAAAAGGTTATAAAGATTCGAGGCTTTAAACAATCAAATTAGAGCCCATCTTAAAAATTTCACTAGATACCCAAATATCCTCAAATTGATCATCTCGACATTAAGATTCATGGACATGAGAAAAAAATGGACTCCAAGTTTTGGAAATAGTGCATCTTGTAACATTTTTTTAGACAGCCAATTTTTAAGATTTTCAAGTTTTCATAGACGTGTTCGATCTACGCTATTTTTTAAGCTTTAAATTTTATAATCAAAGATGAAAATATATTTTAAGGCTAACACAAAGATTTCCAGTATTGAAACTGCATTTTTCGACATTATTTGAAGGTATGTTTTACTTAGATTGTTTAGAGCTTCGGCTCTATACAAACTACACCCTTTTAAAAAACAAAAGATATTACCATGGTGGTTTCCGTTCCCACACACTACACCACTAACACCTTAAAAAAAAAAAACCAGCACCTAAACTATTTTTAAAAAGAAGTAAGGCCTACCCCAAAAAAAAAAAAATCACAACAAAAACAGTTGATCGGAGTATTGTAACTAACAACATCACCGATGATTCCAATTGTCCCTTCTTTCCTTCAAAAACCCTAATTGTAGAGAGGCCATGGCCCAAGATGATTCCAATTGTCCCTTCTTTCCTTCAAAAACCCTAATTGCAAAGAGGCCATGGCCCAAGACATTATTCTTTAAAAGTGATTTACATACAGATCTTAAAATTTTAAGTAAAATACGAAGATACTCCATTTATAAGTGGAAATTTCAAACGAGATCGATCAACCTTTTTTTTTTTTTTAAATTGCCTTTTTAGTCAACCTGAATTTTGATTTTTTTTTTAGTTTGTCAGTTAGTAGGGCACTGCCTTAAAGCTTGGAGAATTGACTACTAATGAAAAACTACAAAAAAAAAAAAAAAGGGTCAACCAAGGGGCAATTTTGAAAAAAAAAAAATGGTCTGGACTTTCTTTGTAATTTCCATCTAAGTGGAGCATTTTGTATCGGGTGCAGTTGGCATACATATGCATCCATAGCTGGAGAGGTAGTGCACCTTCAAATCTTATCATGATATATAATTTTGATATAAAATGTTTTTAGGATTATCTCAAAATCTATTTTCATATCTAATTATAAAATTTTAAATTTAAAAAATGTTTACTATCAAGTAGATCCATAAACATGTGAAAATCTTGAAAATGGACGGTGTAGATGATATGTTGTACAATGCATTATTTCTGAGACTTAAAATCTTTTTATTTTTCATGGTATACATCTTGATGTCGAGATGATCAATCGAAGGGTTTTTCAACTTTAAAATTATCTTTTCCGATGGATTTTTGAGGTCCATCCGTAGCTACAAAGGTAAGGTTGCAACCTTATACAAACTTTTCCCTTTTGTATTTTACCTAAAAACATAGGGTCCGTATGTAATTCACTCATTCTTTAAACACAGGTATATTTCTGCATGTTTACATCACTTTGTAGCTACCTATTATGACATGATGACCAACTATTGAATTTTCAAAGAATTTTCAGTAGGAATTTGAAATCATTTAAATCAATAATGTTGTATTTACTATAAAAATATGTAATATAGAACACAAATAATGATTCCAGAACAAAAATAAACTCCTTTAATTCATTTGTTAAATTCATTTGTACCCTTATTATTATTATTTTTTTATATCATATTTGCATTTTTTTTAAGATTTTTGGTAACTTGAGTGTTTTTTTTTTTTCTTCTAATTTACCAGTTTCAAATTTTGTCCAAATATATGTTGATTTGTCCATCTTTATTCCTCTCATAATACAATTTTATATGTTTTTATAAAGAATTTCCATTTTCAAAATGGCATACAAATATTTTCTTATTTTCACTTTTAAAATCCGTTAATTTTTGTGATCTAAAAAAAAAAAGGTCAATAATTTTTTAGTTTGATGTTACAATTGCTAAAATATTTGATAATAAATTTGTTTATGTAACTATAAAAAAGTAGGAAATTAACTTCCAATATTTATGAAACTTTTAAATAATTTATAATTTTACTACAAATTTGTGTACCCAAAATTAGTTTATTACTAATTACATGATTTTTAAAATACATACGTCTTCATTTCAAAAAATAATATATTTTTTCCTTTTTGAATATCTTTAACCTTTTCATTAATAGGTTCCTCATCTAAACTTTCATGCCATGTATACAATCCCTATAAAGTAGATGTTCCTCACTACATGCACATGCCCCACTCATTTATAAGTTGTCCCTTTCATATGCCTAACCAACTCCACCTTCTATTATTGCATTACATTTGCACCATACAGGCACTAATAATTGAGACACATAAGCCCCTCTTTATAAAGCTTTTAGCCGCTCTTCCATATGGTTCTCGATGAGCCCATATGGACCACCGCCTTATATTCCTTCTTTACAAGGAAGAAAGGTCGGTGCAATCATCCTTTTTTTTAAAATCAATCCCCCCAACACTTCTGTTGATCCTTTTTTTTAAAATCTATCCCCCCAACACTTCTGATGCGAATCTTGGTATTGTTTTCTTTACTATTACACCCTCGTATTACTAAAACCCCTACCATGTTTTCAAATAATTCAGGAGTTAGTTGTTTGAAGGTATTAGTGGGGTGGTGTCTCGGAGGTTAATTTATTAGAGCAGAAATACATGCAAGATCACTAAAAGAAAACAAAAAGAAAAATATCAATCGGCAATAAAATCACAAAACCGTTTCGTTTTAAGCATTAGTTAAGGTGGCAAACGGGTTGGAACCAAGTTTAGGCTTAGGTATAGGACCCGGGTGTCGGGTCTGGGTCCAAAGGACTTTGAATGACTAGGGCTGGGTTGGTTCGATCCAAGTTAGACCTAATCGGGTGAGTTGGCCACCGCAGGAAAGGGGATGGAGGGGTGGAGGCATGTGGGGTTGGGGTCAAATTGGACTTGACCCGATCAATCTCCATCCCTAACTTTAGTTCTTTCAAATCTATTTGAAGAAGCATGAATAGGCCTTTTTTTTGGGGTAGATTAGTAGGGATTACATGCCCCATGTAAGAAAAAGTCCATTTTTTGAAAATATTAGTGAGAATAGATGCTGTGACCTTTAATTGGTACTGCCACTATGACTCTAACTCCAATCCCAGCGTGAATAAGCTTAATCGGGCAGCTATTTGTAGTACCCACAATAAAATTTGGAAACTTTTTTTATTGATTTTTTCAAATACAATCTCTAGTAGCTCTTGGAATGTCCATCAACCAAGGACGGTTAAGGAGTGTTAGTCCTCCACTTAAGAGTATCTCAAATTCCCTTCTTCCCTTATTTCTCTTTTCCTATTTTCTTCTTTTTATTGTGTAATTTTCAATTGCATATAGGATTGTTGTTTCTTCTATTTGGAGGAATAACTACTTATCCTTTATAGGAATATGTCAATGCATTCCATAAGCTAAAAGGTGCGGTTTGGATACAGCCGAGGCTTTAAACAATCAAGACAAATTTGGGAATTTCTCTAGTGGATTCGAAGCTTTCAATATCAATTTGGGATCCGGTGGTGGAGAGATTTGACAAGAAACTGGACATTTTGAAAGCTAAACTCTTTCTATGGGGGGGAAGATATACGTTGATTAAATCCACTTTGTCCAACTTCCTAGTATATTTTATGTTTTTATTTAAGATGCCAAAAGAAGTTGAGAATTATGAGAAATTATGAGAAATTTTTTATGGGAAAGATGACATAAGAAGGAAAAGATTTCATTTAATGAGTTGGGAAAAAGTTTGTAGACCAATGAAAGAGGGGGGATTGGGTGTTAGGAGATTGAAACATATGAACTCGACACTTTTAGTAAAATGGTGATGGATGATCCATACACAACCTGAGTCTTTCTGGGTGTTTGTTCTGAGAGATAAATATGGAATGGATTTAAACTTTAGCCTAATTAAAAGTCCAAGAAACAAGACAAGGTTGTCTCATGTTTGGAGAGGTATTGACTATGAGAAATATGTGTATTTATGGCAATTTCAAAAAATAGTGGGGAATGGAGAATCCACTCTCTTTT